GGGCAATAATTTCCAATTTTTATTAAAGAAACTAAATGTCAGACAATGTCTTGAAGCGTATTTAATTTATGATATCTGTTATTAATTTTAGTCTATACTTTTAGATGAAAACATGAAATTGGAACTTATGTGTATTAATTCGGTAAAAACGTTCATGACGTTGCTATTATTATAAGGTGATATGTGACTCGTGCCCATTCTTATCAGCCAAAAGATGTCCTGCAGTGCGAGTGCCTAACTTTCTAGCCATAGGATACAACATCATATTTCAATTTATTTTACAACTTTGACATATGATTGATAATGAATAATGGTTATGGATTTGACACCAATATTAACAACTAAGTTGTTAATCCATCGAAAAATTTATAAAAGACATTGGTATCAAAATAGTAAAATGAAACGAAATATCGTCATAATATTCGTTAAGAAGTCGTATCTTTATGGCTAGAATCATGGCTAGAGAGTTAGGCGGGCATACCCCTGAATGGATGATAGATAATTAAAAATCCTAATCTGATATAGGTATACGATGCCGATAGTCTACTCTTATACGTAAGAAATAGCTGTTCCAATATATTGAAGCCTGCTACTTTTAGGTTACAAGTAATCGCTAATCGTTTCCCGTTGCCCGTAATAAGACGACGAGAAATGTATCGATAATAAGCGATGTGTTTTAACAAGAATTGAACACTAAGTGTTTGCACTTATGCGAACAATGCGTTCGATTATGATGAACAGTATTTTGTATCCGATTACATTACTGGCTATTCTCATGTACATATCATGATATATATCCGTTGATATTTATCAGCGAAGCCTGATTCTGACAGACAAAAAAATAGGCATCACTCCTATTGTAAATAAAATTCGCTCCTCCCCAAAGACAATCACTTTATGTGTAGACTTTGAATATTGTCTCAACTTAGCAGTTTTTATGCAAACTAGCAAAAAATTATGCTATTGCGAACTTCTCTTGCATATCTAGATAGTATTTCATGCGTAAAGCAATCGTGAATTATAAAAAAAATGTAAGTATGTTGACAGTGTACAGTTATGTAAAGAGGTACAGTCATGCTCTATAAACTTACAATACATGCCGATATTGCATTTTGCAAATCACCTGGAAGTTGTGCACCAGTATTACAGCATAATCCAGTACTTATTATTGTCTTTGGTAACTTTCTGAGTATTAAAATAAAACGTCTAACTTAAGTACCAGGTTAACCATTATACCAGACCAAAATAACTCAACACGGCAATTCGACTTTTTTCTTCTGTCAGTGTCAATTTGTTTTTGGCCTTTTAGTTCTATGCCAAAGGTTATTTGGCGTTTTAGTTATCTAAGTTGATTAACATGTTTATAACCTTTTGATAAACAACTTTTATTTTCTTTTTTTTTTCAATGAGTGTTCAATGCTTAAATATAGAGTATGAATTCAGTATTTTTAAAGCATTTTTCGTTTTGGGGCAAAATCATTTTATTTTATTAAATTATGTATGTATCTATGAGCAACAGTGGTTGCTTATTCATAAATAATTTAAGTTATATAATCATACTCGTAAATAATCGAATTCGGCTTTTTACTGTTTCATAGAAAAAAACATTTTGTTTTTGAAAATGGAACTAAAAGTGGCGTATTCAATCATTCGGTAGAATGCGTGCATTGCGTTGTGAAAAAAACGTTGGCGTGAAATCTTTACTGATTTAACTTTAATTTTTCTTTAATTACAAATTTGATTGGTCACCGCAATTTATTTTACGCAATCATAGTGGAAAGTGGATGTATCAAACGGCGCTGAAAACCCATTATAACTCTGTTTCTTAGTATTTATCTCCTTGCTAAAGTTTTAAAGCGCCCATGAGGGGTAAGTATTTAATGATCTTTGGATATTTCTGGACATCCTTCCGTTGATGCGTTTTATACCGGTTTGTTTCATTGTTTCGTCACTTCCCCACAAGCACTAATGGTTCGTTTACACGTAATTAAGTAGATTTTTAACTTAATTTTAAGTGACCAAGTACGTGTAAACACACAAATAAGTAATAAATAGCAAGTTAAAATTTAATTATAATTAAGTTCATAAGGTATTTACTAAATATTAAGTAACTAGTTATTACTGATTTCTTATATTTTAAACGTAATAAATTAAACGTAATTCAGTGCGTTTATATTAGATTTAATTACTTTTCAGACCATTTACAGGTTCGGTGTTTACTAAGATATCGATTGGGTTTTTATAATTAAAAGTATATCTACTTTTTAAACCTTCAGTACTATTGGACACATTCACAATACATTTATTTTATTTTATGGAAACGTTGACATTTATTAAATTAAATTATTATTACAAAATATTTGACTTATTTTAATTTATTGTTCGTTTATTTGGCCAATTAAAAAAGTTTGTGGCTTATTTACGAAAAATAAAACTATAATATAATATATAACCTTCTCTTATTATTTTCTTTTTGGTATAGTCTAAGATAGTTTTCTATTCGCAATTAAACAAATTAGTTTTGTGCAAATATAGTGAAAGCCAATCACTCAGTCTTACTGTGTCTCCAGTCGTTCATACATTCTTGCCGCGGTTTAGATGCGTGCGCGCAACTCGCAGGCATAGTAATTTGTACCGACGTGTGTACGAATTGCAAATTGTGTTGAAACGCGTAAAAAGTGAAATTTAACGTGACGATAACATCTCATGAATTACAAGAAAGCATAACGACCTTGACTGCATCATGTAAGAGATTCTATATAATAAATATGACCTGTGAAATATTCTAGAAAGCTTATTACTAAAGATTTGGAAGTATAGAGCAATATTTCTGGAAGCATAAATTATCTAAAGAAATGTTTAACAACATTGATATAAAGTGAAAATAATATGAGAATTCATTTTTATATATCCTTCCTCATAATTGAAAAAAGTCCGGATGATTTCGTATATATGGCAATAAAATTCCGGATATATGGCAACCCTACGGGAATACAGCTAGTATTGTATTATATTCTACGTTATAAATAAACATGAATAAGCAATACTATTTTATAAAATAGTTCTCTATTTATCTTTCCATTTCTCTAATGTGAAGTCAATTAAGTAGGTAATTGTCTATATAATCAATTTTGGGCGTAACATAATTTTGTATCAGATGGTCCCAAATCACGAATAACCAATAGGAATAAACTAACAAAACTGTCTTATGTAGGTTCCACACCTATCCTAAATTGGCCGGATATTTTATTTCGGTTACAGATATGAATATTTTTTATTTCGGATATTCGTGCGTGCTGTTATCCCTCAATATCCGTGACGTCCTGGGGCATGACTACAAAATCATTTGAATGTCAGTGATTTTCGTTATTCGTGCTATCTCGAAACTCGTAAATCATAATCTATTATTTCTGTTGAAATATAATAAATAAGGCGCTTGTTTTTAAAACAAATCCTGATCGGAATACACAATGATCGTGTTGGAATGAGAGATGGTATCTTTAACGGGGGACCGCACTGGAACTCCATTATGTGACAAGACTATGAATCGGTCAGTGTGTGGGATACTTTACGACTTTTCGTATTTATATTAATTAGCGGCATATTCAATAAATTGCACCTTAATAGCGAACCCTATTCAATGAATCTTGGAAGCGGTCGGAAATATTTTCTACTTAAACCGCGTACTTATTGTGATTCTGAAAGTAAAGCTGCTTTTATAAAGGCCTACCATCGGATGGGATACCGATTTTTTTTAACGAGCTTGTGCTTCATTGCGTACTATAATAATAAGCATACACGCGAAGGAAAACGAAATCGTGAATGAAAAACGTATTAATTTTTATTGTAATTTTAGAAGTAATTTTACTCTATTCAGAAAATTTACATTATATCGTAATTATTTAACTTAGATATAATATAACTTACTCTTTTTAATTTCATTCTATACGGACTCTATATATTTTATTCATAATCTAATTGATACTAAATTTTTTGTGATTCTATTAACCTGAATATCCGATTTCTATTAAACCAAAGCCAAACTTTTTATTTAAATATCATTGTTAAAGTTTCCCAACTTAATAAATAAACACCAAATAATTTTTACCCTCATTTAAATTTTTAACCATATTTAATTATATAAATAAGCAATATTTCATAATTATTATAATGCTTATTATACACTTAATTACATAAACCGGTTTTGTATAGAGGTAATGATTGACTCACATATAAATTCATTAAATTGCAACAGGCGACATTCACGGGCACCGTATAAAGAATGCTTATTTAATACTAATACAATTTGGTACTGATCGGTATAATGTAATATCAATTAATTTGCATTGCACGTTTTTATATCTACAGCTATCACTTATATATTATAACGTAACTTAACCATTTCCAATACTCGGACGGTAAGCATGCTACAAAAAAAGGGGAACAAATAGGATTACTTAATAAATTTAGTACAAATAAAAGGCAATAAATGTCGGGTATACTTACTTGTTTGTATTCTGTATTACAAAAAATGGTCATAAACTCTTCGGAGAGTGGGACATAAAAACGCGTTATTGTGAAGTATAATGCCGATTTTCGTAGGGATGCGTCCGTTATCGATATATCGGTGAGATAGCGGGTTTTCCGATATATCGGAATCGGCAATATTAATTTGCCGATACACCGATACATTATGAATTAATCGCGCTAAACATTGTAGGCCGTTGCTTTTGGTGTGTTTAATATAATTATTATTGTGGCAGTTGTGATTGCATTATACCTTTAAAACGTATCATATCAGCCAAAGTGCATATTTTGCCAACTAAATTAAATATTTGCTATAAATATTAATTTTGCGTTGGTCGTGACAAGCTATCGACAATAATTAATATGAGCGCAAAATATATTGTTATGTAATATAACATTTTATTATATCAGCGCCATCTATGGACGATAACATACAAACCTTAACTTGAACAGATATTCATGGTTTGTTATAGGGGTCAGATCCTCGTGTGGCCACTTGCCGTGGCCGACTGCAGACTCGCAGGTGCCAGCTCAACCAGGAGATCAACAAGGAGTTGCGGCTGCGCGCCGGCGCTGAAAACCTGTTCAAGGTCAGTGTAGGAGCAGTAGCCCGGATTGCGAAAGGTTGTAGGTTTGGGTCTCACCTTGGGGTACCTGGGACTTGTAGATTTTTTAATGATTTTTCATTAAATATAATGGAGATCTTAAAAGGTTGCTTTAGGCGGTCTTGGTATTAATAAAAGTCACACGCTGAAATGCTCCACGAAATCTCGAAGTATAGTAAATAATAGTGATGGTCACTAAATATAGTGTTACTCTCGACACCCTTATTTTTTAATAATAATGATTACATCTCACCGTAAAATGTCGCAATCCACATAATACCACATCATTTCACAAATTGTCGAGCTTCGAAGCGGATACATTCCATAATATGTAGGGTTGTCATCGCTTCAAAATTACTAACAGATGCAGAGTAACCTATTTGATAATACTCGTACATATAATGTAATCCAATTTAGTTGCGAAAGTAAAGTATAGTGGACTATCAATGACTATCACATATTAAACTTATTTGAAAAGTACATTATTTCAGACATACAATGTAGTATTTGATATTCCATATATTTAAAATAACAATATCGATTCCAATAGTTTTACAAAAATTATAACCCAAAAATATACTTATTAGCGCGAAACGGTCATTAATCGTCAAAGACACAGTAACAGCTAACTTGCAGCTAGGCATGTTTATAGAGCAATCGAATAGTGCTGCTTGAAAATAATACATCAAAGCATTATTATTGGTAGACTACAAGTGTTTGTAATATTGTGTGTTTTTATATTTATTGAAAAATGGGTAATAAGTCGGGGAGCCTCAATATTAGAATTGTTGGGAACTCTTATTTAAACACTGACAACCCTAAGTAGTATGCGTACCGCAATTCTATCAAATTGATACCTACTACTACGCGACAATGTTGAAGACCTGCAAACGCTTTCGCTTGAAAGTGTTTGCATGGATGGTGTCGATGACTATCTGGTTTAAACAGTGGCGGACTAAGGTCTGCCCCGGGCTTCATGTCCTGGGGGCCTCCAAAATGCTGCTAGTTCCCTTAAAGTCCAAGCCTGATGCCGCTTTAGGTCCCCGACGAGATTAGTCCGCTACTGGTCTTAACCCTATTATTGGCATTGGCACACCCACGCCACACTTATAATAAAAATTCAATAACCCAGTATATTGATCAGATTAATAACAAAAACAGTTATTATCTAAAATTTAATTATATTTGCTTAGATTGGATCCTATTTTTGTGCTATTGAATGTAAACCAAAGTGAGAAAATCACTCGTTATTTTCAAATACGGTAAACCGCTAGATGGCCAATATTATAATATTCTTTATTACGCCTTAAAAAGAGACATTGCCTCATCGGTTCAGCTTATGTGTTTTAATAATTGTGTCTCTAAATTATATATTTTTTGATAGTTATCTGTTGTAATAATATATTTTATATTATAATAGACGAGATAATTAACGCAGCAACAATAAAACATATCTCGTTAACTTTTGGCACTTTCCCAAAAGCACAGGAGTATCAAAATATGTCAGGATAATAGTTGATTATGTAGTGTTGAACCAAATTAATGTTATCCTACAATAATTATTACATTGAATTAGGAAAACAATTAGTCTCAATTGTAAAATTGAGTAGTATCTGATTGAGTGGTGCCTAAATAAACCTAAATGTTAGCCTCTGGTGGTCCTCCTTTTTATACATATGGTAACAGTTTGCGTACAAGCGTCCAACAATTTATATCTGCCTTTAGTAGGGATAGCAGGTGTATCATTGATATAGAAAGATAGAAGTATGAGCATAGGTAACACCATAATAGAGCGTCGTGTAAGCTCATTGGTAGAAAAACCTTGAGCCCAAAAGTGCAAAGAATAAAAGAACTGATTTACAACTAATCAAAAAAAGGCCAAAATTATTTACGTGATATAGAAAGATATTGTCAGAAATCATAAATCCTAACGATCTAGTAAATGAAAATGCCTATGTGTTAAACAAACGAAAAACGTTTGTAAGGAACGTCTTTTGAGATGCTCGATTATTTTTGCTCAGACCGCAGGGTTTTTGAGCATAAAAATTATAGATATTCTATTAAATTTTGTTTCGTCAACCGATTTGAGAGTTAACAGCAAATTTTTAATATTTATATTATATTGTCATGTGGAAATTCAATTACAGTAACAATAATATAATATACAGCTGAGATCTCCTTGTTGAGAGACCCTCTTGGTTGTTAGGGTACGGTCAAAGTTCTCCTGAGAAAACTCTAAAAGTGACAAAAACGTGTAGAGTATGAATTGGTGGTTATGAAATTTATTTCGAATTATGAATGTGAAAAATAAAAAGTTTTATAAAATTCGTAATACCCTTCAAAAAGTTACAAACATAAAAAACCGGTCACGGTTCATGAGATGGAAATTGTCGACATGCAGATATCGGAGTATTAGTAATAGAGTCTCTTTTTACCATTACGGTACGGAACCCTAAAAACGTGTAGACTATTTTGTTTTTCGTTGATCGAAGTCCCTATTATGTTGTTCATCGCAACTTCGCCTTTAACTAAAGTATAGCCTATATCACCCGCGCAAAATGTAGCTTCTTGTAGGTAGAGAATTTTCAAAATTATACCAGTAATTTAGTAAGAAACAATCAAACCTTTACACTTTATATATAATATTGGTATAAATGAAAGCAAAAAAAAATACGATATGGTTGCCATCGAATAATAACACTTCTTGTAATGTTGACGTCATAAATAACCAACAAAGATCTAAACAAAATTTATTTTTTTACCAAAACTAGCGTCATATGTCTTTAGTATCCGTCAAAAAAATTCTATTGTTCTAAGGCCAGTGCCCGGGTATTGTTTCCGAGAAATAAGAAGATGGAAGATTTATTATTTAGTATTTATTACAGTAACTCAGACCATTTAAAGACGTATAAGCTTTACATAATTGCTAAATAATTATTAATAACCAAAAATGCATAAGAAATCCAAATAAATTCTAGGTACATACATACACTGTTTTTAAACACTTAACAATTGAATTATCAATTCATCCAATGTGATAACATAGTTAAACATATTCTACGATTTGAGAATTACCTACCTATAACATTTTTTATAATTTGAGAATATTTACCTGTCACATACCTATTTCTGATTTGAGAATATCTGCCTATCACAATTTTTCCGTTAAGTGTCTGCTCCGCAACTCAAAGATTACCTGTAAGAGTGGAAGGTAAATGAAATGAAAATATCCTTAACTTAAATAAGTTGATTGCATCCATCTTTAAATCACCAATGTTTTTTCATTTGGTTGACAAGAAAAAGGAGCGAATGAAACTTACCAGCTCTTTACACAATAAAGACATTTACACTATAATTTGGTCATTACATACCAAATTATTAAAAATACGGTTAGTAATTTTTTATATTTGCATAAAACCACCTCGAAAAATTCATCATTATATATTTCTCAATTTGTATACTATAGTTTAATGAAGTAAGATCATAAAATGTAACTTCGATTTCTTCATTATTGTAACAATTAAGAAAACAAATGTGAATGATATAAAGTTTTTGTCCTGTGTTTCAAATGAATTACACCAAAATGATATTTTTCTACTAAAGACATCTTTTTAGGGTTTCGTTGCCTTTAAAGTAAATGCGTGACCGTTTTACAAAGACTGCGAAAAAATTGCGAAGTCTATCGTCGTTCTTCCTTCGCTTCCAATATAATACGTCACAGTAAAAAAAGCGACCGCATCGAACCGTGTCACCCTTTCTTGTTCGGTCCGTGAACCCTGACCTTGGAGGTGTGAGAACCTCTCTTGCATGAGAATATAAAATTAGCCTTTCTTCGCGCCAAACCTTTCTGAATGTATGTAAATTGGATGCTTTTTGTGTGTGATTTAAAAAAAAACTTTAAGGTTCCAAAAGTTCAATGATCTTGTTTCGGAGATGTAAACTTTTTTGTTAGGGTTTGACTGTATAAAGGCTACTTTACACGAATTTAGTAAGTCAATAAGTCTTTTTCGTAAATAATATGTACTAAATACACGTACTAAATTAAAATTAACTTCTCATCAACTTAATACGTGTAAACCAGCTGTATAGCAAAAAAGTTGTCCACAAGTGCCACAAAGCTTTGGACACTATATTTTAATAAAAGTGATTTGTGAGTAAATTTTTAAACGGTTTCGTGAATATTGTGAATGTGTCCAATAGTATTGTTTTGAAGGTAGCTATACTCTTACTTAAAATAGACAATCAACACGTTAGTCTCAAGTGAAGTGGAACTTGTAAAAGGTCCGAAATGTCAAACGAAAACTAAATACAAATGCGATGAAACCGTTTTAAAGTTGTTTCATTTATAAAAGTGATTTTGACCATTTTTGATTAGTGACCTTTTCGTAAAATTTCTAAATGATTAGCAAAAATGTTTATTTTAAAATTAACCATCGATTACAATTAATCAAAAACTAGCAAATTGAACACATATAGCTTACTAAATTTGCGCACCTTGAACGGGACGGTTCTTCGGTTTATATAATGTTTGTGTGTTCCGTAATGTAGAAAATGGTTTTTTCTATATTATCTCGGGGCTCTTCTTTTTTGACGCATGGGATATGCATCCTTGAGCCTTATCTTTATATTCCATAATACGAGGGCTAAAGCTATTCACTTGGAATATGAGCAATGTATGATATGTTGTCTAATTTTTTTTTATTATTTATATTCACCATAGTTAATGTTACTTATTTTACCTATTACTTTTCAGGCTACAACAAACCGGAAGCTTAGAGAGACGGTGGCACTGGAACTGAGCTTCGTGAATTCAAATCTTCAGCTGTTGAAAGAACAATTAGCAGAGTTGAATTCCTCGGTGGAACTATATCAGAATGATAGGTGAGCTAAAAGAATTATAACGCAGAACTATGTATGTAGATGAACTCGCCGCTATGGTTAGCGTGTTCGATCTGCGATAAAGAAGTTTATAAATTTAATAGCATAAAAGTGTGATTATCGGTAATTGTGTATTAAACTCTACCCGAAAAAATGTATTTATTTTCTTTTATTCAGATTTTAGCATAATGTATAATTTAACAATAACAAAGATAACAAAATTTTTATAACATTCAAAAATTCAGTCAAAACGATATTAAAATGCATCTTTTTCTACAGATTGTATTCATAAAAAGATAACAATTTGCATTATTACCAGACAGCCACGGTAATCGTTGAAAGTGTTTTTATTTTATTACAAAACTTCTTGCAAGAAGAACTCTTGCAAATTATGTATGTTCCTTTTATTATTTTGTCAAAATTTGCATACGTAATAAGGTACATTATGAATGTCATTACCGCAAGCACAGCTCCAAGCAATATTTTAAAAACTGGCAATCTGATATTAATAACAATGCTTTGAATTGTAGATGCTCTAAAATTTCTAGATAATGCATAATTTTTCGGAAAATGGCTTATTTTGCCATTTCATTTTTAGGATTCCGTACCGAAATGGTAAAACGGGAAACCTATTGCTAATACTTCGCTGTCTCTCACCAGGCTGTACCTTATGAACAGTGAAAGTTAGAAAGTTGAAATTTTCAAAGATGATGTATTTCTGTTGCAGCTTCAACAAAAAATAGTGAAAACCAGAAAAAATAAATATTTAAGGGGGCTCCGATACCACAAACGTAATAATTTCGCTCGTTTGTGGTACGGAACTCTTCGTGCGTGATTCTGACTTGCACTGGACCGGTTTTTTAATATTCATTCATAAAAATAGAAAGAAACTCATAATAACATTTATACTGAAAAAAGGTTGCAATTTCGACGTCACCGATTGCGATTTCCTTAGTGGTGTACCAAATGGACTCCGCAAAACGTTAGCTCATAGAGGTGATTACAAAAGAAATAACGCAACCAATCGTATATTACGGCATACAATAACTATAAACAATTTATTTGCAATCACGGAAATATTTTATGCAAAGATAAAACCATCATTAGTTTATAATCTTACTAGAATAGTATATTCTAACCCAGATGGTTTACTAACGACGCAGATTATAAATTGACGATGTTTACAATTTTACGGTAACATAATCAACAATTTTAATTATACATTTTTTTTTTAAATGGAGGATCTCAGCGGCGTAATGGTTAGCGCGTCTGTAAATTAAATTCGCATGCGCTACTCATAGGACCGGTGACAATAAATAAACTTAGGTATTGTTCGAGTTTAGATTTTCATCTCGAGTTTAGACAGAGTATTGACTCTTTCTTGGATTATTGTCTCGAGCTTGGATTATTGTCTCGAGCTTAGATTATTGTCTCGAGTTTAGATTGTTGTCTCGGGCTTCGATAATAGTCTTGAACTTAGGTTATTGTCTCAAGCTTAAATTATTATTTAGCTAGAGCTTAGATTATTGTCTCGACCTCAGATTATTGTCTCGCACTGGGATTATTGTCTATAACTTAGATTATTGTCTCGAGTTTAGATTGTTGTCTCGGGCTTCGATAATAGTCTCGAACTTAGGTTATTGTCTCAAGCTTAAATTATTATTTGGCTAGAGCTTAGATTATTGTCTCGACGACAGATTATTGTCTCGCACTGGGATTATTGTCTATAACTTAGATTATTTTCTCGAGCTTAGATTATTGTCTTGAGCTAAGATTAGTATTTCTAGCGTGTAATATTGTCTCGAGATTATATTTAGTCTCGACATTAGATAATTGTCTCTAGCTTCTCCGTGTTTTGAAATTCAGCAGTTGGTCCCAGCTTCATTTGTTAATAGCCTTCAACCCTCACACTTATTCAAATAATTGTTGATAAAACCATCACTTCTGTATGACAAAACGAATGAAACAGAGACAAAGCTAAAAAATACTATACAAGCTCGAAATGATCCTCATTAAAGACGATTCCAATAATAGTGCTTAATTATGTTGCTAGGCAAGTTCGTATCATCATCCTACATTATTTAATATGGTAATAATAATTATATTTAAGCCCTGAGGGTGTTTATCATGTCAAGAAATTAACCTAAATGTCTACATGAATGTGGTGCATAATTGTTTTTGCTATGCTTTTTATTATAACCTTTATGAACGCATTATCTTAAGTTCAATTTACAAAAAATAATATAATAAGATAGGATTGGATCTTGTACTTAAAAAATTTTTTCTATTTTAATATGTAGTTTGATAAATATTTAAAATATTCTTAATGAAAGCAGTTTAAAAATCCTTTCGCAATCCAGATGACTGCTCTAAAAGTGCAAGGGAGAAAGTGGATTTTTAAGCATTTTTCATTGAAGATATATTTCAGTATAGCATTGTGAAGGCAAAACTGGTGATCAAATATAATAAATATTTAAAAATAAAATCCTGTTTCTTGTAATTAATACCGAATACCAACTTATTGCCGACGACAATGTAACAAATTATAAACAAATAGGTACTCATGTAGCTTGTTTACACGTTATATTAAATAATAGCTTATTAATCACCTAACAATTTAAAAAAAAATTAAGTTAAATTCAGATAGTATACAGAAATATGTTTCAATAATGCAATTGTAACAGGTTGACAACAACGATTCAAGCTTAATAGAACTTACATAATAATTACGCTTTCAATGAAAATAAAATATACATAATATTGTCTTTTTGTTTGTTAAAAAAAAAACTTTTTCTTTTAAATTCTCATAACAAACGTAATTTTTGCTCAAGAAATCGCTCTAGATTTAATTAATTCGTTCACAGGGCAATTAGAATTAAGAAAGACCGTGTAAAAAGTTGTTTCCGTGATTGTTGAGTTTCCCGCGCACCGGCCGCCATGTTTTGCGACTAAGCGTATGCTCGGTATGCGGGGGAAGCCCATTCGAGCGAAGCAAGCGCACGTTTTGATAATTTTAGCTCTCATTGTTATTTTTATTCTTATAAATATGTTTATTTTTAACCAATTAAAAAAAAAGGAGAAGTTTGATCCGCGATATTTTCTTTAATATTGTCCCATAGGCGATGAATATTTTTCTTTGATAAGGAAATCTTAAAAGTGTCGCTGTAAATATATGTACTATAAAGTAGAAAGGCGAATAATTAATAGTCATTTTTTTTTTTAAGTAAAATATCAATGTCTCTGAATGAACATGGTTTATTTTTTCTACATTAAAATGATTGAGCACATTGTAATGATATAGATATCTAGGTATTTATTTCATAAAAACACGTGAATACCGTTAATTGAATTATCTTTTTATGTATACCAACAAAACCTTGGCAATTGGCGTACAATATTAGCTGATATAACTACATGTTATTCTGATTGGTCACATAAATTATTTTAAAAAGAGTTTTATTCCATAAATACAAATAAAAAAGGTTATTAAAATTAAATGTTGTTCAATTGTACACAAACCATTTGAGCTTAGCCATGCGCGCTGTGCCTTGTGTGGAAACTTCCGAATAAAAATAATCTCTTACAAAATCTAAATTATTAATTTTTGAGTTTGTCAATTATGTGCATTAGTTAAATATTTTATTGGAATATTACTAACTACCGTACAATTACACCCTTAATATTTTTATATGTTGATGTTTACCGCGTGTTACAAAAAAACCCGTTACCCCGAAAATGGCATTGAGTATACATAAAACTGAGATAATGGACGCTGTCCTTTATATCGTAGCCATTGTATTTATTGAAAAAAACAATATCGAAGTTTAGCAAAATTTTCGATACCATTTATCGAAGCACACCGACATTATGATCAGCTGTTTCAGTTCATTGACTTCTAAATCAAAGACTATTATTTTGCCAGACTGGTTATATCTACTGGTATTTAGTGCCTACGTCACAGTACAGCGAAATAATTTATCTAGTTATGTGTACATACGCAAATATTCGAACATGCAAAATATTACACGAAAACATTATTTTAAAACTATTTCCAAAATTCGTTTTTATTCAAATTAGAGCTCCCTTTCCAATATACCTTGCCATATTACTATGCCCGTGCTACGCACATATCAGGCACGGAAACAAACAATAAACAGTACGCTATAGTCACTGCACTGGATTAAATACTTTCGCCTGAAATGCTCGTACAATATCTCTTTACGAACTGTAGACGGCCCATCCAAAATAATAATCTTTATAATTAATGCTACGACACGTCACTCAATAATGTACTCATAAAATCAATTTCATCTAATCTAAACAAATAGAGAAGCAGAGGAAGAAGAAATATCGCGACCTCTAGATAAGTAGAATATTCGTTATTGCACGAACAATTTTTTTTCATAATTAGATAGTTTCATTTTTATGAAAATAATTACAATATTATGAAAGTAGGCGACGTATATCACTGAGTGTCTTCCAGGTAACTTTGTCTATCTGTAGCTGCTTCATCTTTGAACCAGAATTTTTACACATCGTGTCTTTAAATCATGATAACCTGGTACTCGTACCTACAATCTTCTGTTACGAAAGTAAACCTAATATGACGTCAGCGCAGATACAGTCGGGGAATAAATTGAAACATTGATCAATATTCGTGTACATATTTCAATTGTGTTTATGGTCAATTTATTTCTATTCTAATATTTTTACAATAAAAAGATCAGACTTAAAATGGAATATGAACCTTAATCGGGAATATGATCATTCCCGATTATGGTTTCAACCACTTACTCTTACTACATGTAAATTGTTTCAAGTAAAATGGATTGCTACCTTAGAGTTAATGATATGCACTACACTTAGGTATCTTAAAAGCGTCTGACAAGAAAAAATGTCGACAAAGAGCCGCTTTCTGAATTGAGAAAAGTACAAAATCTCAACTGAATATTCTCAATAACTGAAGTTTTTTTATATTTCACTAGTCAAAAGTCCTAGTTTTATCAAACTGCTAACAACTAATTGCAAAAAAAAACCGGCCACGTGAGAGTTGGACTCGCGCAGGAAGGGTTGTATCCGGTGCTAAGAAATAACTTCATTAGCTTAACTCTTAAAAATATTTTTTATTGTTTAGGTATTTAAATACGTAAGACAAATCAATACATAATCGGTAAAATCGAGCCTAAAACAAATTCACTTATTCCTCCGAGTGTACAATGACGTAAGATAGAGATAGAGAGGGAGGGAAAGAGAGAGAGAGAAAGAAACGAAACATTATCGTCCGTGTTTGTGTGATGTCGCGCGCGAGTGACTACTTGACGCTAGATACGGTAGTAGTAAACATTTGGTACGGATTTTAATTTATTATCTATTTTATTACTGTGAGCTATTCAACTGAATTTTAGAATCAGAGTATAGGATTTACTATTTTAATGCTGTAAGAAATGAAAATGAATGAGACGTTTTATTATGTACTGTTTACCTATTTCCTTAAATAGAAAAAGCCCTAAAACGACCGACACAGCTAACAAACAAATGGTCATTTATTTGAAAAATAGTTCAAAATAGAAAAGGTGTATAAAATGAATTAAAATTTTAAACAGGTATGTCGATTGTATGCAGTTTACTACGGCCCACGAAATACATTAATTTATTTATTTAACGATGTCTTATGATAGTCGATGCTACTTCCTCTCTACAGACTGAGCCAAGCATGCTCGTTTGCAGGTGCAGCGTGAAAGTATATCACATTTCTCACTTAAACTAGTCTTTACCAAACATTAACAACGTTTAAATTTGTAAATACTAAAAATACAACCATGTACTATCTTATCAACAACAATAAAAATTTACAAAATCTTTGTCAATTAACAATTCCTAATACGTAACGTACATAACGTATTATGTACTTACGTACGTATGTAAAAAAAATAGTTGCAACAATGTCCTGCGACGATTTTTTTAATTTGTATAATAAAATGTTGATCACCTCGGTACTAGGCAACTAGAAGTTTAGGCTCAAACTTTAACATTGCCGCCTGTCTAGGGTTGCCATCTATCCATCTTTAGCGGGACATGTTTGACTTTTTAGATTGTGTGCAGCTAAATGTTAATGTCACATGTCCGGCGGTATAGTTTTCATAGGTTTTTGGTATACCTGTGCCGAAGCTATATCAAATAAACTATGAATACACACAAATTCGAAAAACGTCAAATACCCAAAAATACGCAGTGTTGCACGGGCATTTGCGAAATTTGAATACAAATCGTTAGTTTGTTTGCATCGTATAGTCTCCGAAATTACTTTATAAAAAAAACCTTTTTCAAAATAGGTTGTGCAGTTTTGATGTTACGATCAAGCCTTATTTTATGAATTCACGTTTTGGCTGTGATAAAAGCGTTAAAATTATGATGTAGTTATCTTATCTTTAATTACCGCTTATTTGTATGTTACGTCTTACTACAAAATCAATTGAAAGTTTGTGATTTTTGCTTAACGCACCCTCTGAATAACTAGGCAGTAACCCTCGCGAAGCCGTGAACTAATATTACTGTCTACTACGGTAATATTGTTTTACGGCTTCGCGAGAGATTTGACTTAGTCCGGCTTTAAGGACAAAATTTCCGATCTAATAAGAGAAGATGGCAACCCTATCCCGCTACTTCTCAGATTTAATTGCGGAACTATAGGTACCTTTCTGTGCGCCTTTGACATGCCGCACACTATGCAGCGGCTTATAATAAAGGACTCAAATTGGCGGCTTTCCCTTTTTATCACTTTTTCTTTATTCAGTTGTTCATACGTCGTCGATGTGATCACGTTTCGAAAATGTCCGTGTTCTCTAATTCCGAGTTCTATGAAAAGTGCTTTTATCAGTGTTACATGGGATGCAGTGTTGTATTGATATAAATTGAGACTATTTTGAAAAGATGTAATTATACTGAAACGTCAGTGAACCAGAGGTTGGCCGCGATCTTTAGTTTTTTCTTGTGGAATAAAATTAAGTGCCTAATAAAGTGTAGGTGAGTGAACCTCACAAGTAATGCTTAAACAGTGAATAAGGAAGTGAAAAGGTAAAGTACAAATAGTAATTCGCAAATATTTATTTTTAAATACGCCAAAATCGTTTGTGAATTATGTCGCATATCATTTTTTTATTTTTTATTATCGTAATATCAATCAGATTTGTCGGACCATTAAAGTATGAACTAAAAGTTAGACTCGTATATCAGTGTTTAAATAAATTTTACCTATCTATCATAAATAGGTACTACTTAAAATGGTGTTTGATCTGTAATTCAGAAACAGCTGAGTCGGAAACGATGCTATGAAATGATGTGCGCGTTGATAATAATATGTATTATAATTTTTTTTACTGAAATTAGACTACCGGCTGAACAGCGTCGGTTACCATACCATTTTGCCAATGATTTGATTCCTATTTAATTTCTTTTCATTTTATTTTCGATCGAAATAGGTTAAGTATTTACTGTGTAAACTGGCAAACGCAGACATGTTTTTAAGTATATTTTCTCTCTCATTCTTAGTATGTATGTGTGGGTGTGTACTAGGAGAATAGAAAAAAAAAAATTAGAAAACATAGGAGATAGGTAGTGTGCCATTACTCCTGGTAAGGTCATTAACCTAAAATAGTGATGTGACATAGCACACTCGATGTATTTATTAATTATTAAAAATTTGCCTTTTTACTGAAAGTTAAAAGTTAATGCAAAGGTTTTGAAAATTTGGCAGAGTACTGTTTATATGATATACTTCAACACCCTTCAGCTATAACGGGTATTTTTGTAACACCCGGTATATACACTACTCATACCTTTTGAAAAAATTGCCCGAGAAAAGAAATCTGTTTATGAAGAATAGTATGGTTCCATAAATCCGCGTTTTTTGGATAATTTATGATGCAACGGAGTTCATGACCTGGCACTCCTCTGATGCAGAGATAATCTTCATAGATGTAATTGTAACAAAATTTTAAGAATTATGCGAAATTTTATTTAATTTCGTTAGTGGACAGAGTGGAACCTCAGGTATCACAATAATGTGGTGCATAATGTTTCAAAATCAAAATCTAAATTATTTATTCAGTCTAGGCTGTTACAAGCATTTGTGAAAGTCGAGAACTACACCATCGGTTCGTAAATCTACGGCGGGAGAACTTGTACCGTAAAGAACCGGCAAGAAACTCGGCAAGGGCTGCTTTTTCTCCGTTTATTTCATACCGGGCGTCAAGATTGAAAAATGACTTCATTAAAATATAAAATCAATTTCCATTACAATATTAGAAAATAGTATAAAAGTATTTACGTCAATCCAATCACATGTCTAGTCCAACAAGCTCACCGATTAATATTTTAATATACATAAAAATAAGCCATATTTAACACCAAGCAGTTTTGTCGTTTAATATTCATTGACAGTATAATATCCTTTACTGAGTAGACAATTTTTAATATGGGTTTTCATTTAGGCAAGGGTAAGTTTAAAATTTCCATAGGAATTTTGTTAGGGTAGTGCTTGTTTGTTATTTTATTCTTTTATTCTGTAATTTAAACATTAATTCGTGTAAACTTTTAAGTTAAATAAAATTTGTTATGAAGCTGTATATTTATTTAAATTCCAAGTAAAAAAATATACACGCACATACATTTGTTGAATGCGCTGTGTTGTACGGGAATGACAACATAATGGTTAAAAGCGGCTCTTTTGTGATAAGTATGAAACAAACTATTAAAATCTTTATCACAACTACATAAGAGTTCAAAATCCACTAATAATCCTCAGATTTACTCATTTTCTTCAAACTGTAACCTCTTTAGCGAAATCTCAAAGTCCGCGCGGCGTTAGAAAAGCTTAAACTTATTTTAATTTCAAGACAATTTGATTTAAATTGCTTTGAATTCTAGTAAAATTTCTTCTCTTCGAGTATCTCTACATTGTCAGTGAAAAGATAAAAGAAAAAGAGTAAACAAGTAACATTATTTTGTAACACGAGCGATCTCTATCTGCATATTAATGAACTCACTGCTGAAGCAGAAGCCTTTTCCATGAATGGAATAGAATCGAATTGGGAGTGGTCCAATACGGATAGGTGGGTATTATAGAGCCGGAACAATGGTGTAACGTGCTTTCCAAAGCACGGAAAAGCTCGGGAATAATACTTTTTGGTCACCCATCCTGTGACCGACCTTTGCAAAAGTTGCTTGACTTGCATCGCAGACCGAAACCGCAAACCACTGCGTCATCGAGCTATTTCACCATCACCATTGTTCTATTACAAGATTTACAAGTAAGGATTTATTGTTTTAGTAAAGAATGCGTGATGCCCATGATTCCTTTGGGCCTGAAGGAGACCAAGGAGGTGGATTTCAGAGAGCCATTCAAGGATTTCATAATGGAACATTACAGCGACGACCCGGCCGCCTACGAAGACGCAATCTCTGATTTCATGGATATGAGACAAGTAAGTACAGTTAGATACAATTGATGTGTCGACTGTAGAAGGCCAGATTTCGAAACGCCAAAATCTCCGAAAAAACTATATAACCATATTTGTCCTGCGAGAATTCCTGTAATTCCTTTTATATAAAGAAAATTGATAAATATTAGTGATAAGTATTAGTTAGTGAGGTTTATGCGTTATGGTTGGGGTATGGATAAAAATAATAGATTTTACGCGTAATTTACCATCCTTTTCCGTATCTATTTCGTTACTCCCAGCCCTTATATCGTCTTTATTGTTCAGGCGATGCGCACCCCAGTCCGGTCCTCAGCCGGAGTAGCCCTTCTCTTCAAATACTACAACCAGCTGTACTACATAGAGAGGCGGTTCTTCCCACCGGACCGTTCACTCGGCGTATACTTCGAATGGTTCGATTCGCTTACAGGTCAGTGAAATTAAAAAGCTAACTTGGAATGATTAATATATTTTTATTAATTTTGCATTCACAATGTCATACTGAAAATTATTCTTAATACAAAATGCTTAAAAAATCCACTTGGTCCCTAGCACCCTGAGATGGGAATGCTAAACATTGATGAGAATACGCTCTGTAGTAGCGAAAAGTAACAAGTGCTTGAAAGATTCGTCAATCCTGTTAGGTCCTGGGTAGCTCAGTGGTTAGAGCAATTGCCCGGATTGCAAAAGGTCGTGGGTTCGATTCCCATATCAGGGTGCCAGGGACCAAGTCGATTTTTTAAGCATTTTGTGTTAAGAATAATTTGGAATGATTAAGTTAAAAATAAAGTTTATGCATTGATAACTAATCAATAAATATTAGATCACATCACATACGAGTATATAACTTGTTTTAGCCGCATATGTCCATTATATGCTGTTATATATTATTTGTTATATACAATATTTTTTTGTTTCTGCATTTAAAATAATGTTATATAATAATTTTTAATTTATTTTTATATACATATTGTGTGTAATAATAGTAATAACTTTATTTTATTTCCAATAACAGTACAATACTCTGTGTGCTGTATCTCCCATACTAGATTGAAATGTACGAGTATTATGGGAGCCAGTGCCTGCCTAATTGCTGTTACAATTTAACATAAGTTCGCCAAAGTGCTTTTTCAAATCCAAGACCTATTTGAAACTTTATTTCATTAACAATCGCATTGGACGTTAAGCATAACGCTGTTGCAGCACAGATATTCAATGAATTAAAACATTTATTGTTATTTTTGAAGTAGCGCTTTGCTTGACGTCACATAAAACGGTGATTTATATTACAAAATAGCGGTCATTCTTAGCTAGCTCTTTAGGCCCCAAATTGAGTAGATAAAGCCTTTTGGAGATTTAAAAAGTTCATTTTCTACGTTCACCCAAGCGGAAAGCGAACCCGGCACAGCAGAGAAAAACCCTTGAAATCGAAGTGCGAGCCACTGGGCTACGTTATCGTTATATATAGTTTTAATATAAACAATAAAAATTTGAAAGCAAGGATTGCCTGTGTTTGTTTATTTTGCATAGATGAAAACATAGATGTTTGCAGTTAGCGCCTGTGCACACTTTATGAGCAATAATTTTTAAAGTAGCGTTTGTTATAATATAATTGTCAGGCGTTTCAGCAATAGATTTTTAATTGTAACAGGAGTCCCGTCGTGCCAGCGAACAGTGGCTTTCGAGAAAGCTTGTGTCCTGTTCAACATGGCTGGCATTTACACACAGATAGGCGCTAAACAGGTAATATTAGAAATAAACCGTTAAAAACAAGTTAGATAACGTAAACATAGCTCAATATAATTAATTTCTTAGCTCTATAGCTTATTTTATTATACTAAGCCATTTGATTTATTTTAACGCAAGCAATTTCATTGTAAAAGGATGATTATTATCTGTGTTATTATTTATTGATCGACGGTACCATTTGATATGCCATATTCAGCTAGGGTCTCGTCGGGACGTTCTAGGGAGGGAGGAGAAAAAAAATACCTATACAATTTTGAGAAAGTTCATTCATACAAGTAGAATTTTGCGCAGTCATAGTTCACTCGACACTGTAAAAACAGCACACAACAGTTGCGCTGTTTCAATCGGGACATTTTTGTCTTTTGTCAGGACGTCAGGACAAACACCTCAATATCGGGCGGAATAGCAACCCTATGAAGGATGAAACTAATTACAGCACATGTGAAACTAGTTTCGTCATGTCATTAAATCAATTGTATTTGAGACACAGACTGCGTCAACATCGCATCTTTATTATGCACAGATGGTATCGGGACACTGGTTCCGCCATGAATCGAGGTGTAATTAGTTACTTGGCACTCGTTTCATCAAAAATATGCGCAAGCAACTACTTTGGATTAGATATTCGAAAGATCTTCACGCTAAAACTATTTAACATGTGATAGCAATTGCGGTCAGGACGTTTTTGAAAGATATTGAATGAACGACAACGTTAACTTGACGTTGATCGAAATTGTCTAAACATTGTGATTTATTTTGAGCACATACCATATATTACACGGATCAGAGTAATCTACACTGGTATGGTTTATGCTGAGGCAGAGTCCTGTTGGCCACCACTTTTAATAAATGTATATTATCTTTAAGTTAAATCATTATTTTATTTCTTTGTAATCATTATTGTATCTATTTGTAATAGTTTCTTTTTTTTATTAGAAAATGTCAAATAAAATTAATTGTTTAAGAGATTTATATCATTCAAATCATCATTCCGATTGTGACTTTGACAAACTTTATGACTTTGGACTTGTAACAAATCTGACGGAAGATAAAAACGAAGAGTAGCTGTTCTCACTGAAGGACACACTCTACAAAATGATGATACACTCAAAATACCTGCTTAAAGCACACAATACTGATTGCAGATTAGTACACAGAAAAAAAAATCATTCCCTCTAAAAGCGATTGTGACTTAAAAAGTTATACAATTCCATAAATCACTATCAAGTGATTTTGACGTTTGAAAGGGATTATGATACATTTTAAAATTAAATTATTAAGCTACTGGACATTTAGGTACACCTGAAATTGCCAAATTAATGCAATAAAACTAGTTTCAACAGAGATGACCCCTTGAAATCAACGGAGCCACTCAGCTACGTTATCCTTATACTTAGCTTTAACAGAACCTAGTTTGTAATGTAAATTCGGCTTTATAGATTTGACTATAATGTGAATAATTCTCATAGCTCTCAAAACAGAATAAAATAACTGAACAGGCGTAACATTTGTTTTGTTTAGGAGCGCAACACATGCGCAGGATTAGACGGAGCGGTCGACGCTTTGCTTCGTGCGGCCGGAACGTTGAGATACATCCACGAGAACTTCACAAACGCGCCATCTGTCGACTTGGCGGCTGACACGCTCCTAGTGTTGGGAGCATTAATGACGGTATTTATAAATTTACTAGCTTTTACTTACCATATTAATCGATTATCGAAAAAAAATCTGTTTTGTATTTTTGATATTCTAATGGAAAGTCACTCTATAGTCTAATGAAGTCATTTCTAAGTTAGATTTCTCTGTATGAAATAAAATGGAGAAATGAAGCAGCCCTTGCTGTGTTAGATCTACTTTCTCAATAAAAGTCTTTAACATTTAAAAGTGCAGCCTAAACCTAATAAATGAAAATAAATTTAAATTTACTACTACATACGTTAAATTTTATTCGTTTACACTGTTTTCTTTCAGTCGCAAGCGCGTGAATGCCTGTTCGAAAAGCTGCAGTTACAAGCGCGCGAGGCGTGCCGCGAGCGTGAACTGTGCGACGACCTCGACATGTGCCTCGACTTAGCGCAGGAGAGTGCGCATCTAGCGCATACCTACCACCAGCTCTACGAGAAGGTAAAAGTAACCGATTTACGTCAACTGGACAGTAACAAAGCTTTTTCTTCACTTGACCAGTCTCGAATCCCGTCTGTCCAATCAAAATCAGCTAGGATTCTAAATGATTTTTTTTTATTTCGGGGGGGATGAATCCCCGTTACAGCATCTATTAGATGTTCCTAAAGGTGTGGAATCAGGTAAGGTTCTTGCAATGCTCGTCGATTCAAATCCCCCAGCCAAAATAATTTGTCCCATTTCGGAACAATAATAATGTACTTGCCTTTCGCTCTATTGAGTCAGGAAAGTAAAATAGGTTTGGCACAGATCTATTTTTGTCAACCAATCGTTTTCTTGTAGGACGCTCGGTACACGAAATTGATTGATCAGCCGAAATGGTTTTATTTTTACAAAACATTTGAGTCTTTTTAAGTTGAAAACCGGTCGACGTGTACCTCGTCGGTCGGGCGACCGGATGGTCGGGCTTTGGAGTCAGAAAAAAGGTTGATAGAAAACTGGGTATTTGTTCTACTATTTCTAATACAATCATTTCGAGCATCTCCTTTATTTGTTGAGACATCTGAGGACTTTCTTGGTGGCATAATATATTAGTATAATGTCGTAGGGCCTTATCAAAAATGGTTTCATTACAAAAGATATTCGAAGGTGGCTTAAAGTTCGACAAATGTGATCTGGGGCCGGAGCGTTACATATTTTTAGTGTTTGATGAACTGGTCTTACAACCTTTTTGATTTTGGTGTGGTCGTCCTCTGTCATTTGCGGATTTCTTTTGCTATGATGATTTTCCTTTACCTTTTCTTTTTTTGCTGGCCAGGGTGGATTGAAAAAATATTTGTGTTGGTTGCTTCGTATGATCTGGCTTGGGCTCACTACAGTACATTACAGTTGAACCTAATACCTTGGAGAATCTCTTGATTGATCTGCCACAGGTGTCTGTACAGCTAGTGTTTTTTTAAGTATGTACATATTTTTTATTTTATGTTTGTACATAACATGCTATCGTCGAACAGGAATTCTGAGTTTGGTGGAATTTTCTATAAATTCCCTTTAGGGAAGACTTTACCATTTATGGTATTCCTCTGGAATTCACTTAAGCAAAATATCTCTGTACACAATCAGCGCGCCAGCCTAATATTTGAACAATATCGTCAGAAACTTTAATATAATTAGAACTAGGTTTTCGGTGTTAATGTAGTGTCTTTATCACTAGACCAAACTACAATTTGTTGTAAACGAGTTCTTATTTTATTTAAACTAGAATCTTCAATTGTTTGGTAGAACCAAAACACCTTAATTCGTCACTGAAATGTAGTTCAACGAATCCCGGAGTAGCTACATACTTCGTCTGAGTTTCAGAAAAACGAATAGAATCCTAGTCATTGCTTTTAAAGCGCTGTATTTCAGTCAGTTTCTTTAAGCGGGCTTCATTAGCTTTAACATAATTAAGGTCTTTAACGTTAATTGAAAAATATGCTATTGGAATTTGTCTTTCCTGTTCTGTTATAGATAGGGGAAGTCCGGGTTTGCTTTCATATATTTATTATTTGGAATTGATACTTATCGTTATTCTCAAAAATTATAAAAACTATTCTAAATGTTATTTGCCTTCTGTTCACTTGTTTTATTAACATTTATAATATTGAATTGACTGCAAGTAGTATTATGGCAGAAGAATCATCACCACAGAAGGTACAATTAACCACTGCTGTCTTCAACAAGAACAGTGGTTCAACTCTCCCGCATACATCACTTCGACATAAAATTTTAATTGCAGAAAAGGTATTTAATTACTGTTAAAAAAAAGTTACATACTTCAAACTAGAATAATCAGCAAACACGATAAAAATAATACTCAATATTTACATCCATAAACACGGCCAGTATTTCAAAACTACTAATTATTTAAAATTTATTTGTAGTGACCAAAACACTTTTCGCAACTTAAAAGCTAAACAAACCAGGCATTTTGTGCAATAGGGACACATACGTTATTGGTCTTCTATACATGATCTACGACTGTGTTAATGTTTCATTAGCTTGCAATTTACGTTGAATTTTGAGAAGTGGTTCAACTCTCCCATCTGAGCAAGTCTCCCGGACAAAACGAAATAAATTATCTATGACATTCTATATCATTCAAATCATCATTCGTTCCGAAAGCTATTGTGCCTTTAAAAGTTAAGAAAAAAAGTTTTTTTCTTTCTTAAAATACTTCCTCATCAGACCACAGTTCTCCATTAGGTCTATCAGTTTTTCCAGTTATCTTATATCTACCTTATTGCAAAACATTTTTATGCAAAACATTTTATTCGCGTTTCTTTTTTCAAAACAAAAAAATTAAAGAAAATACAATAAAAAATAATCGGTCGTCAGACTCGAACCGGCGATTCTACCGTTATAGATCCTACCGTTGTTTTCAATTTTAGTTAGCATGGTAAAGTAATTACTTCGTCCCAATGAGTAGTTTTCTATTAGGTAATAACACATCGGTTTCTCTACCAATTCTATTCATACTGTTTTTTCTTCAACGACCAGCATTTATTTTGTGTTTTAAAAAAATAGTAATAGCAGGACAGATTTGAATCTGTGTCTCCTGCTACTTTGGCAGTGGCGTTAACCTTCCTATTCTAATGATGTTGTTGCAATTAAAAAAAAAGAGGGCTTAAAAGATATTTTTTTTTTATGAAATCTAGCAAGATCATTTTTTCTGCCCCGAAACTCGCTGCATACCAAATTTCATGAAAATCGTCGGAACCGTTTTCGAGATTCCAATTATACCTATATACAAGAAGTCATTAAAAGATATTAGATATATTTATTATAATTAATATTTATTATATATTTTTTCTCTGGTAAAAAAGTAGAATTCACAAACTATGCTTAAAAGCCATTATCATTATAACTCAGTTTTTATTTATTTAGGTATTACCCTCTACTTCGTGAGTCGTATATAATGACTCGGTTAAGACCTTTCTATAAAAATCTACCACTATTTGTTTACAGATGCAGACCGAAGGTGTATTCAGCTATGTGCCATATTCATGGGTCTCTCTGGTCCACGTTAAGACTGAATTTTATAAAGGTTAGTATCGTGGGTTTCCAACCTGAAAATTTTACTTTCAATGTACCTACAAAACTAATTATAGATGGCGCTGTAAGTAAGAATTACGAGCTGTAAAGTTTTAGTTCAGTAAGTTCCGACTTATGGCGCTAGGGGATTTTTGTTTGCGCAGAAAAATACTGACTATGACCGAGTACAATTAAAATTTATAGTGAGTCTTGTTTCAATAACTGTAATATGTAAAATACAACGCACTAGGTATTCGTCTTACTGGGGTCCAGGTTTCGATTCCCGTACGAGTCAATGTAGAAAATGGACTTCTCTATATTGTCTCAGCTCTGGGTGTTGTGGTGCCTTCTATGTTTCACTCCATAATGTGGGGGCTTCAGCTAATCATCTTATAATCTGAGCAATGTATGTGATGTTAGATATTTTTTTTATATTTCATTATCACCAGCCTAATTATATCCTCACTAATGGAGCTCAGGCCTTTCCTGTGGATGGAATCGTAACGATTAGGGAGAATGGTCCATGACCACGCGAGCCCAATAAAGATTGGCCGGTATTAAACACTGCAGATGCTGCTTAATGTGCCTTCCGAACCACGGAGGAGTTCTATATAATAAATTTTTGGTCACCCATCCTTTGGCTGGCCATTGCGAAAGTTGCTTAACAGCCGTAACACAGACCGATCGCGCTAAACACTGCGCCATCGAGCTCTATCGAGCTTTATATATTAAAAATTGTTCCAGCGTTGGCGCACCAATACTGCGCCACGGGTTTGCTGAATGCATCTGCGGGACCTCGCACCAGGGAACGTCTAGCTGCTCTGTATTCTCCGGCGGGTGACAGAAGTGTCGATAATGGTCAGTCAGCACTATCATCATTGGCCCTTTAGGTCCCCACTACAGACTTAACATACCTTCCGAACCACGGAGTAGTACGAGATAATAATTTTTTGGTCAACAATCCCGTGAACGGTGGTTCTAAAAGTTGCTTATCCACTACCATTGCCGGCCACGGCGCTTATCTATATCAATAGGTAGTAATTAATTTAAAAATTACAATTCAACTGTATCAACATCATGCTGAGGTAGGGTCCTAATTGCCTTATAGTTCTATTTAAATATAATTTATAAAGTAAACAAAAAAAAATTTTTTTTTCTATATTTGTAATTTGTGAGACACGAATTAGAGCGCCAAACAGAAATATTGAAAGTGAAAGATAATTTTAATAGTTTACTGAATATTTAATATGTTACATGGATAATTTTTGTATTTTATGTGTGTGAATTCAAAAACCATTATGATATTTCAATTTATTAAACTGATAATACCTTTTGTTTAGTTCACAAATGACGTCACGTCGTGCGATTAGCCGTTTACCAACATTACTTTTATAAACAGAAATTATTACAAGGCTAAATATAAAAATAATATTTTTGTGGGAATTAGCGATTAAAATAGTTGTTAAAAAAGTTGTCAGGTTCCCTTTACTTCCATTACTTCCGAAAAAAAACATAAAAGCTTTTTAAATTAGTTAAATATACATGGAATATAAACACTGTCTTTTATTGTTAAGGGTCTGCAATGACGCCATCGCTGAAAGACCAAGACTTGGACCTCATGGCATTAGGACGAGCACACCTATCAGAAGCTTTGGCGTTATACGAGGAAGCTTTAAGATTACAGAGGATGTGCAGGTAACCTTTGAAAATCAAACACACACAACATATATTAAATTATTCCGTTCTGATCTATTCTATTCTTTTTTATTCTATTCTACTTTAGTCTATTCTAACCATTATATTCTATACCTAAACGTTTTAAAGACCTGTTGAAAGATATCGTTTCATAATTTTTCATGTTATTATTCAAATCATATATCTATCTCATATATAATATATCTATCTCACGGTCACAATAATATAATATGGGCACTCAACTATTGATCGATTTAAAGGTTTACTGTAAAATATTTCTTTTTCTTTAAAAAATCTCTAGAATCTCTAAGTCAGTCATTGAGCCATGGGTACAGTAGGTATATTATAAGTAGCAATGTTAATATGAGTAGTATATGTTTAATGGACGGCTGATTTTGAACTGTGAAAAGCACAAAATCTCAACTCAATAAGTTCCGATTTTTATATTTCACGTGGCACAAAATCCTAGTTTTATCTATACTCCATTCATTATAGCATTAGACAGAAGTGAAATAAGGTTCTTTTTATGGTATACTTTGTGATAAAATATCAATAATCATGTTACTTTTAAGACTGACGCCTAATTTGCTACATATTCATTTAAATATCAGCTGCTATACTTAACTGTTGTCATTTAAGCTAACTATTAAACAAATTTATGAGTATATGACTAACTTAAATGATTTAATAAGTATTACAATAAAAAGTGTCCATCGTAAAGAACCTAAAGAAGCAGAGTTGGATAGTTTCGGCACGATTCTCATGTCACTATAATCTACCAAATTTAAAACGTTGCCTAACCCCTTCAAGCGTTTCGGTAGTACAGCTTTTTAATTTTGTCAGACTATTATTTATTCATAATTGTTAAAATCGTAATCTGGGATTGTCATCCATTGTGAATGCTGCCTTTATACTTAATACTGCCTTTCTTGTTGTTTAGCCGTTTTCCGTAATATTATTGTTTTATTTTTGTTGTTAAGTTTTGGTAAATATGGACGATGCTGGTACAGGCCCGAGTGGCCTACAAAAATTACGCTCTAAGCCCCCATACCTACCCTCAAACTTTGACATTTCAGGGAGATTTTCCAATGTCTTCATCAATAGTCTAACTTATTACACTTAAAATTAGAATTTATCAAAACACACAGATAGTTTCAGTTTTAGTTCCATGTTGGCTTGGGACTAAAGATGAATTTATAAAATGCTGGCCTCATCTCAACCCCGAGGTATCATAAAAAATGGAAAATTGCCCAGCTCTTTCAGACTACCTAACGTTGAAAGTTTCAACAAAACTAATATAGATTTTTTAAATTTATCTTGAAAATAAAATGTTCTGCACTGCTGCTTCTATGACCCTCTTTTTTCTAATGTTATAGTGAATGGAGTATAACTGCGAACAACTGAACATTTAAAAAATTAAAAATCAGAAACGAAAACCTGTTTAGGAAACGTTCAAGATGGTTTAAGTACTGTTTGAGTCTCAATTCAGAAACCGGATGGGAATGTATAATTTGCAGAGAGTTGCGTGGTAAAGAGGCGTTATCGCGAGCGGTACGAGCAGCTCTAGAGCGTGCGTCGTCGGCGCGTGCGCAATCACGAGAACCTGACTTCAGCGAACTGGTGGACGCTCCTAGAGTACTACGTGAGTATCACCATCAGCAGCCCTCCTAGGGCTCAGGCTCTCCCTATGGATGGAATCGAATAAAGCTATCGCCCATCACGCGGGCCTAATATGGATTGGTGGTTGTTAACGACTGCAGATGCTGCCAGGACCGGTGATTTAACATGCCTTCCGCAGCACAGAGGTGCTCGAGATATCATTTTTTTTTGCGAAAGTTGTTTAACAACTGTATCGTAGAATGAGCGCTAGTTACTGCGCGATCGAGCTTCGAATGTGAGTATCACCGTCTTTTAGATGGAGTGAAAATTAAGAGAGAAAAAAGCAGCACTTGCTGAGTTTCATGCCGGTTCTTCTCAAGACTGAATAAATTATATTGAATTTGAATAACTGCCCCTAATACTAACATAGGCCTTACTCTATGTATATAATCTAATAAGGAGAATAAGCCGCCATGCAGGCCTAGTGTGAATTTGTGGCTGTTACCGAATGCATGCAGGGTTTAACGTGCCATCCGAAGTGTGGAGCAGTAATAAATTTATGGTCATCCTTCATTGCTACCAACACGAACAATATTTAGTTGAATCCGGGAATACTTTCCAGACAAATGTCTTATCCATGTTCCTTTTTCTTTGGTATATAAGTACCATAAATCGATGACAGTAGCCCTCACAGTTTTAAACTTAAAATATGTAACATTGAACTCGTTGTTTAACCACGACAGTATAAGACTTACTAATTACAGATTTAAGTTTGAAATAGTAAAATCAAAATATCAAATTCGCAGCATCATCTAAGTTCCAACTGGCCCTCACAGCTCCTGACTTCGCACAGCATCGAGTAGACGATCTATTCAAAGCATTAGGTCCAATAGCTGTCTTCTCAGCGAAGAGACATTGGAGTGCACCCAGACTAGTACAACTCCAAAGAAACGGCGACAGACGCCGAGAATCTTCCAGAAGGAACCGCACAGACTACATAGAAGATCTGAAGAAGAGAAACGAAAAAAGAGACAGATCAGAAGACAACACAACTTACTACAACCAAATAATAAGAAGCGACGAGAAATACACCGACGATTATGAAAACAAAAAGAAATTGAACAGAGTCACTAAACAAAATGGCGTCTATATTAATAGTTACAATAATAACAATTACGATTATCATCCGAAAGTTCTAGATTACGATAACAAATATGAATATAGAAATAAAATCAATGAAAGTTACGTTAAAACGTCGACGGAGAATGGTCTTAATAAGTTGGATAGGGATTACGCTAATGGGAAAGTGAAAAATGGAAGAGAGAAGAGGAAGAGTGATTTGAGGAGAGCGGCGAGCGAATACAACGTGGCGACAAATAGTAGTGATGAAGGCTTCGGATTTTCAGTGAGAGGTGATGCTCCAGTCGTGATAGCTGCAGTGGAACCAAATTCATTGGCTGATGTAAGTAGAAATTAATTGATAAATTTGTCACAGCCAACTAATTAAAATGGCTTTTCAATTAGACGGCTAGCCCTTTGATAGAGAATATTAACCAAAGCGTGACCTAGATGGCAGCATTAGCACATGTAGTAAACAAACAAACAAAATCCAAACATATAGCAATTAGGTATTATTGTATAAAAAAAAAAATACATTCTTTCTTCTACTATTCTTGAAAATTTTGATGCAATATTAATTAATTTAAGTATCAATCGTATTGAATAACACAGGCAACTTATTGTGTGTTCATTCACAATAAAAATTACTTAGATTAATAAAAAATACAAACTTAGACCGAGCTATAAATTTTGAATTTTATAAATTTTCCGTTTTGTATGTTTTGAATGTAATAATAATTTAACTAAGATCTTGTATCCGGTTTAATATTTATATTTCTGTCCTATATATAACAGATTGTTTAATTTTCGAAAGTTATTATTATAAAATTTAAAACTTATAGCTTTGTAAAAGTTTAAAAGTTTGTAATTAATACCAATTTATTGAACATTTTTAGATCGGTGGTATGAGGGAGGGCGACTTCATAATATCTATAGGCGATAAAGACGTGAAGTGGAGTTCACACGAGGACGTCGTGAGATTAATACAGAACGCCGGCGACACGCTCACGTTACGACTCGCCACGCCTATGGACAAGGCTTTACTTAAGGTATTTCTTTATCGTAGTCATGTGCCTAATTGTTCGCAAGTGAGATCGAACGAGTTATTTCGCGGTTCCTAGACGAACTAGTTCGCTCGAGTGAGGTTAGATTCATAGCTCGTTGCAGTGGGAGCAGTTTTAAAACGCTTGATCCATCTGCCCTATATGTAATTATGTTAAAGCAGTTAGTTCGCTCGTTTTCACACTTCAAATAAGAATCTAAACTAAACTAATCTTGTCGCAAGATTATTGACATTGTACTACATTTACTTTAACTTTTTGGACACAAAAATAACATAAGTAAACATTAATTGGACACAAAAATAACATAAGTAAACAAATAAATTAATATTCTGAGATTTATTGTTTAAGCAGTGAATAATATACTTTATACTTTTAAAGAGATATTAGTGCGGTCCACTTCACCTTTACTACGTTCAGATACGAACTAACGAACGACGGAACAGGAAATGTGGGAACTAGTTCGTGAACTATGAACTAACTAGTTTCCACATTTTCCGTTCCGTAGGTCTGTGGGAGCCACTTCTTCGAACCAGTTCGTTCCAAACTACACAAGACTACTTAGTCGTTTCACTCTTAATTACATTAAGAGTCAATCTACATTTTGAATGACAAGTTCTGTTATACGTCACCATTCTTGTCTGACCGCAGCCTTTCTGGTACATTCATGGACAGGGCAGTTTATTGCCGCCTTTAAAACCAAATAAAGGTCATCTTCAGGCCAATTAAGGTATCATCATTAGCCTGTTAATGTCTCCACTTCTGGAGTACACGACTTCGTTATAGATGGAATGAAATAGGTAGAATGAGCCATTGCCGGGATCAATGGAATAACGCACCTTCAAAAAAAAATTTTTTTTGCTCACCCGTCCCATGAGTCCTTTGCGAAAGTTGCTTAACTTGCGCATCGCAAACCGAACACGGTATTCAAGCTCCTCAGGTTTACTCAATAATGATGAAAACCTAAAACTAGATTTTATTTGAATAATTTGATATGTGAAAGGTGATAAATTAATTGTGTATTGAAGCTTAGATAAATTGAAAGACGAGCTGACTTTATCTTTACATACTGTTATTATATACATTCACGGATGGCGTAATTAAAAATTTCATAGGCGTCTTAGGCTGGAGTTCACCGACAGTCGGTTAAACATTTATTATCTTTGTTTTGTCTTATTATTCCTTGATCTATTATATCTTCCCATGGCGCTGGCAAGACTACCGTTTGATTGTTTGCAATATATTATGTAAAACTGCGGCAGCTACTATGATTGGTATATTCATCCAGGTTTTCAAGCAGTTCTAGATCCCAATACTCTTGGTAATTATCTAGAATATTAAACACTGACTGCATTTTAATTTTATTTATTTGATAAGTTATAAAAACATAGCAAAAGACGTCAAAGAATGACTTAAGTCAGTATAATCAATGTTTAAACGGGGATGTAGGGCTCGATTAAGTTAATCGGCCGATTAAAGATCTAATCAATTGATTACTGTGAAGTGAACACAAAAATGTCTTTTATCAAGTTAAGAAAGTCGGTGTACTCCAGCTACCTCTTATTTTGAACGAAGTAAAAATTTCGCTTTCCGCCAGCGTGTTCGCCAGTTTTCATGTTTTTGCTACATATTTCATTGCTGCTCCACTCCTATTAATCATAGCATGATATTATATAGCCTTCCTCAATAAATACTAGTAGTTTCTGAGCAGCTTCAACCAAACAAACAAACTCTTCAGCTTTATAATATTATTATAGTAGATTTATGCAATAAGCGCCATCTAGTGGTCATTTATGGGCTAAAATTTTAGTTAACAGTATATTGCCTACTCCTCAGGTCACGTACCTGCCCCGCGATGTTACTTTCCTTTATTTTTCGGGTAAGATTAGTATAGTAGCTTGTTGTACACACATGAACAAATAAATGTAACAATAGACCATCAAAAATATACGTTCTAGATACTATGCGAGCCAAATCAAAAAATAATCGGTTTAGCTACCAACTTCACGGCTTAGCTGGCATTTTAGTACTGACAGCAAAGAAAAAAAACTCGCTAATATATTTTGATTTCGTTTAACTTTATATACATATTGTTGGATTTATTATTAGTATTGAAATATATTTCTTTATTATCATATAGGAAGTAGAAGAGTTTATTATAATACTGTAATGCGTTGATTTATACAAAAATCGTTCCCTTTTTTGCATACCTTACATCCTGAAGTTAAAGCGCACTGCCAACCAAGATGGCTGTTAGACAGTACTATTTGGCTTGCATAGTAGATATTTAACTTTTCATAATTGTTCATGTGAATGTACAAGCTTTGCTAATTTTGGTATGATGTCCACTTGGTCGTTACTTTTGTAATTTTGTTGCTTCAAATTTGTCATTATTCAATAGGCAATGCACATCAAAGTGACCAGTCTCACTGAAAGCCTTAATATTAATTGCCGAATTCACAGCCAGCTAATTATGCATTGGTTTTAGTGGTCAATTAAAAGCACTTGTTTTTTTAAGATTATCCTATCTTAAAAAAACAAGTGCGCTAACGATTAATTAAAGTATCAATAGATGGCGCTGATATTGTCATTTTATTGTATTTTTTTTCATGTTATTAAATATTTACGAACGTTTTTACTAAATTTTGTTTCCTGCTTACAAGGTGGCTGTTACCGTTCAATTAAAATGTGTATCTAAATTAAACAACCTTAAACACAACACACCCTTTTTGGCCAGTCATGATCCGAATTTTTAATTTAGACAACTAAATGTACTATATATTTTTTGTTATAAACGAATATAAACAATTAAATTGATAACAGCAAATAATAAAAAGAAACGCCATCTATTGACGGTCAAAATGAATGAAACGGTAAGTTCTTATTATGATTGTTCTTCTTTAGGCATCTCCAGAAACGCCTCGTCAGTCAAACTCCAATCAGGGTTCAGTATCGGCCGCGTCTACAGCTTCCAGCGGCTCCACGGCCGTAACTGCCCGATCATCTGCGCGTCGGCCGCCTTCTTGGAATCCATTTCGACGTCACACCACTCGCGACAACAGTTCGCATCGCGGCTCACATACAAGCAACGTAATTTTCAGATAAGCGGTTAGATGGAGTTATTTTAAAATTTTGTCTAAAGGAATGTTTGTTTTAATTATCAAAATATAATGTAAATAAAATTAATGCATTTCGTTTTGTAAAACGTTCATATAGTCATTGTTGTATGTTAGATTTGTTATTGAACACATTTTTGAAACGAAACGATTCCCTCCTATTTTTCTTTTAAATTAGTAAGTGTTGCCATCTGTTGGCTAGTTTTATTTCGAAACGAGTTATCGCGTGTTAGCCGATGAAATGTTTCCATGTAAATTGTTAGCAGTTTTAATTATATTTAGGTTCCTAAATATATAATTATTACTAGATTAGGGATCTTAATTTACGGCTATGATATCCCAAAGTATTAATTTTGTTGTATAATTTTGAAATCGTTTAAACTTATAATTACAGTATTTTTTTATCTGTCACATCAATAAACTTTTCTAATATTTGACTAACTACATATATGAAGTTTATTAGCGCGTGGTTGAAAAATAAACACAGGATAACGTTGATTTTTTTCTAAAGAATAAAATGAAACAAACAGCTGGACTAATACCCATTGCTATCTAATTTAAGAACCAATTATTTTCTCATCGGTCGCGTTTATAAAGGAAATTGTGAGCATATAAGTTGACACAGGAATTTATACTCTATATCAAAGTATAAAAGAGTGTAATTTCTTTGCATACGAAACGATGACGAAAGTGTTTCTAATCATTTAATATGCATTAAACCTATATCTCCAACTATGGCTTTGTCAAATAGACAAGACCAAACATATGACAGACGAAGCATAGAAAATGCGAGTCGGCAGCAATCTTTACATTTTTTGGGTGGCTGGTGGTGGAAAAACATTTGTAGTCAGTAATCGTGTTGCCAGTATTGGCTTGATGTTGCCCACTTAACACTAACTGTCACTTTTTTTAATATAAAAGAAGTCATGCACAGTTAATTTTTGGAGGTAGTTATTACTTACACTAAATCTGCAATTCTGCGGGCAGGCATTAATACATATCAATTAATATTTGTATTGAAATTGTATATTTCTGTAATCAGAAAATTGTTTTATTGTACTATCAAAAAAAAATAATAGGGTACTTTATACATAGAGTTATAATATTAGAGTAACAAAGGCATACGGCTCCCTGTAAGTGGAAACATAACTCGATTAGAAAGAGAGAGAAGGTCGTGATTGAAGATATAAGTTAATATAGTGTCCACGCCACTGATCACCGCGATCTCTTACCAGTCGAGTAACATCTTGTTGCGTGGGTCTCAAATGTGAACGAAATTATAGCGTATCAATAGCAACTTTTTTTGACACAATTTCTGTTACTATATCTCACAAAAAAAAAACAAAACTTACAATAAATCTGCAATTCATTAATTTATCAAGACGTTGAACTTATAATATGTGGCGTTAGCTGAATAATTAAGTGCGAAAATGATATTATTGAAACGCCATTGAAGTGCCATTATTTCGTTAACATTAGTAGAATCGAGGCCCTGGCTTACATACTCTAATTTAATAAGCCTGTTTTCGAAATCATTCTGACACTGTATAAGTAGGATAGACAGGAATGTTCCACTTCATTAATAATAGAAAAAATCGAATATCTTTTTTAATCCAGAAATTTATAAATTATAAGAAATAGACAATATAAACATAAAACATAAAGTATCCTATTATTATTATTCATCTACGTCAACAGTTTTGGTTTTTATTAACAAGAACATTTTTTAAGTTTCGATCACACCTAAAAATATTTCAACAGGAATCTTAAACTTGTTAAATAGTAGGTGTCATATAACTAAGGCCTATTTCACTACCTTATATGTATATATATATATACTAATTATTATACTATAAATTATATATATATATATATATAATTTATAGTACTATAAAAGCAAAAGTAACCATTACTAGGACGGGCAAAATACGGACAATATCGGACAAAAAGTAAGAGATATGTATCGGTATTCATAGAACTCTCTATCGTTTGCGTGGAGTACTGTCTATTGTTAAACAGAGTGGGGTCATCGAACTATAGCATTCAATATAACACAACGCAGTACTTCGCGGTAACGAGACAGTGTTCTATGGCTTATGATATGGTTACATTCTGAATCCATTAGGCTTTTTGACTCGGGAACTTAAAAGTGAGGTAGTGAAAGAGACCCTTAATATTTTATGGTTGTTTAGATTTAACACATGTATATCAATGTAAAAAATATATTAGGTTGAAGAGTAAATAGAAAATAAGGTTTGTATAAATTGTGTTAAGTACTCTAATTAATACTTTTGATGATGAATAAAGTTTATTTAAAGAGATTTTCTTTAATCATCTTATTTGGTGACCAAGTCTGATTAAATGTTTCGTTTAAGTGAGATTTCTGTTTGTGCAGTTTTTATAGTTGACAAGAACACATGTCTATATAACTTTTTCTCTTTGCCCAAAGTTCTCAAAAATAATTTTGTAGCATACGCTTCTGGTGCACCGCGGCATAACACTACAGTCGACACTGCATTTTTTTACCATTATAGACTGAGATAAAAATATATGACAAAAATAAGCACAGGCTTTTGATGGCTTGAATCTTAATATGTTGAAGTACTGATGGTATACATCAGTATACATCACTCAGTACCCAGTAACGAGGTCAGGCGCTTCAGCAACTGGAAGCGGCGCTAAACAAACTTCTACTGCTGAATGCATTTATTCCGTTAAATGAAATACTGAAGATTTTTATATAATAATTTAGTATTAAATTAACTTTCAATCATTATTATTTTTCGGAGTTCATTTATTATGAGATCTGTTGAGTCGTCTAGCATTATGATTGTCGAATCTGATCAGTACAGAGTACTTTTTCAAATTAAGATTTTTCTTTTTGCTATTTTTAAACTATTAAAGAGTTCCTTTAATGTTTTACGATTGTTCGTACTTAACATAGCCTCGCCGCCAGCAGGGGTGCGACCGCCTAATTGTCTAGCCATGATTCTAGCCGTAGGATACGACAATTTGTCGCCCACAAACGAATGACCTAGCTATAACCGAATGATGATTGTGGAATTGACAGCAGTGTTACCAACTTAGAGGTTTATCCACCGAAAGACGGGGACTTAAAAATCAATGAGGAAGTATTAAAAAAAAACTGCACTTTCTGCCTCGCACAGCCAAACTGTGGAACAGTTTGTCGCCAGCGGTATTTCCGGACCGATACGACCTTCAAACTTTCAAGCGTAGAGCATATTCGTCCCTCAAAGGCTGGCAGCGCGCTTGTAGCTCCTCTGGTGTTGCAGGTGTCTATGGGCGGCGGTTATCACTCACCATCAGGTGATCCATCTGCTCGACTGCCCCCTATTCCATAAAAAAGAAAAGTAAATTAATTTTCAAAACTCAATAAACAACTCATATTCTATTTGTACTTTTTCGTATTTGTATTGATATCTAAGTTTCGAACTTTTCAAATTTCAGTTTTTAATATGTTAGTTAAAAGGAACGGAAATGACTGTCTTTGGTCCATTCGTTTCCTGCAAAAATCAACTTTTGCTGAGGTCGCCATCTAGTGGAGATGTTTTTTTAGGTCTTTCGTTTTTTTTATATACTTCCTCATTGCCAATTAAAATTCGAGCACAGCACATTAAAGACGTGTTTAATAAAAATAAACTAATAAAATAAATGTTATTTTTAATACAGTTGCTCAAAAAGTGGCGTATTGCAGGGACGTATAGCGTTCGGGATGTGGGCTATTTATTACACACTCGTGCTTTTTTTTTACCTTACCCGCACTCGTGCGTTCTCTTTCCCAACTTTCAAAATAATGTCTATTAATAAGAAAAACCTACCAATGAGTTTTTACTAAAAAAAAAATCAAAGAAGTTTTTATGATTCATGTAAATACGTAGCGTTAGGTATATTTCTAAAAAAAAGCTACCAATTTGTTTCGACATCAAATTTTATGATTTGATTGAATTAGTGAGGTTAGGTTTCATTTCATTTTATCTCATTAAATTTCATTTTCATTTCATATCAATAAAAAAAAATCTACTGAAGACTTGGCTGTATGGGTATAGTTCCTTTTGCCTACCGGGACGGGTGCAGAAAATGTGGCGCTATTTTCCAGAAATTTTCTTTGCGAGTTTAGTTGTTTGTTGCACAAAATGAGTAAATTCGACATTTTCGATCCTACTTTGTTTGAATTAACACCACCGGAACTCAGTATAATTACACAAAATGCTTCGGAGAATATTTTACCAGAAAAGTCAAAAAGTCGCTAGATATCTAGATACGACGAATTTATTGCGTGGAGAAAAGAGAAAAAAGCAAATAGTTTTTCAGAAAATGTTATGTTGGCATACTTCTCCGAACTCTCAGCAAAATTAAACTCCTCACACGTTGAAGAGAACATTCGTCCATCTACTGACGTTTATAATGATAATTCATCACTTATCAGATCTAGTTCCACCAACTAGTAAACGCCATTGTATGACAAATATACATGAACAATCATACCAAATTAATAATCGTTTGTCTCGAACAGTAAATATGCAACCTAAAACTTCCCCAGTTAGTATAAAAAACTGTACCAATTTCAATCTATATGTGAATTAAAACTTTTATAACATATAAGTGATGAGTTAGTTGAGTTTATTTTGTTTTTATTATTTTATTAAATTGCTTTATTTTTCGCAACTGCATTAAAATAGTCGTTCAGTACACGTGCGGAACCGTCATTGCAACTCGTTCCGACTGTCAATCCTCGCCTTCGGCTGCGCCTAGGCTCGGGTAGACATTTATCGGAACTTGTTGCAATGACAGCCTTTCGTAATGAAATATACTATATAGTACCTCTATCTTTTTCTATTCATTAAACTATTATAGTCTGGTTGTAGGCTGAATATGAAAAAAGGCGCACGCATGCGCAGTTCGAACTGTGAAAAAAATGGCGCATGCATAAATTACTTACTTGTACCTACTTTGTTTATTTCAATTTTT